GCAGGGAGCCTGATGCGGGGCTCGATCCCAGGACCCTGGGATCATGACCTGAGCCGAAGGCAGACGCTTAACCATCTGAGCCACCCAGGCGCCCCCATTTCAGGATTCTTAATGCTACTTGCTGTTTCCGTGCAGCTTCCTATGACCAGCGTGGCTGGTTTTAGGGTCAGTGGTAGCATTCCACATGACAGATTCTGCTGGTTTCCTCATGAAGCCAAATGTTTATGTTCTGCCTTCAGTAGGTACATCTGGCTGCCTATGGGTTGAGCATATTCTGTGTGTTTCCTGCTACCGTAAATTCAAAGGCTGGAATCCTTTATTCTGCTCTCATTTTCTACCCCTTCTCTACTGGATAAGTTTCTGGAGGCAGGAACAGGTTACCTTTTCATCTCAACAACAAACTTCACAGACAATTCTCAAACTTCTAATAGAGAAGTGGGAGAACCAGAGCGAATCAAAGAGACGGAAACAGTTGTTTCAAGACGGGGGATGTTCAGGGCCTTCGTTAGTATCCCTCAATTTGTATCACACTGGAGTCCCCTCTTGCTCTTACATTGTTTCCTCCCCTCTAGAGTAAGGCCCTGGAGTAGACAGCGCAGGTTTATTCTATTCTATTCTATTCTTTTTATTGATTAGCCAAGTCTAGTTGACGCCACCATTAACGCGGGTTTCGGGTCAGTGTAGTGATTCGACAACGCTACACGTTGGTATTTATCAGATTCGGGGACTTAACTACTTTCATTTACACCACAGTGGTAGCAGAGTGGGTATTTTTCATTCTCATTTTACAGATGAGGAAAGGGAAAGGAAAGCTCACAGCGCGAGCAAGGGGCAAAGCAAGGATGTCCTCCCGGCCCTCTCTAAGCCTCGGTGGAGCTGCGCCGTTGAGACCGAGAGGAATGATCAGGCCAACGGGGCCCGGCAGCCAGGTCAGGCCCAGGCCCTCATGGAGGAGTTAGGCGGCCAGCTCCGTCCCCTCCTTCCTCTTCCTATTTACTCACTAGCAGGGAAAGAAAGGATGCTCTTTCTTGCTTTCCATATTCCCAGGAGTTCTGAGATTCAAAAAGTTGGTTCAGAGAAAGGAAAACAGCCTACATTTCCATAGCAGCTCCTTGAGCTACGAACTAGATGATCACCTTTCATTGTTCCAGTGAGCTAAGGGGTTTAAGGGATGCCAAAGAGTTCAGTTCTGGAATGATTCATGCGTATCCCAGAAACCACTAAACTTATGACAACAGGTAGCCATATTCCTACTCTATTTTTTTCCCCACCAAAGGATTAAAAAGAAAATCAACAATGTTGGTAACATTGTGACTTATTTATAAACTTTAAAGTTTTGTGCATCCGTACACTTTCCAACAGGGCACATCAAAACTACATGCTTTGTGTGTGAAGTACAATAACAACACTTCTCAGGGCGCTTTAATCAGGCCTCAGGGTCAACGCTCCTGGCCCTTCACACCCTGAGAATGCCAGGCATGCGGCCCACCATCTAGTTCTAGTTCATTTGAAGGAGTGCTTACCTCAGTAAGGCCTTTTATCTTCAGGTATCCACAAAGGTAAGAGTTCCCTGTGTCCACATGCTGGAAAGAAAGGACACACAATCTTGTTACAAATGGAGGAAGCCCTGGGAGACAAGCTGGGGGTACTGTGGAAATCCATGCGTCCTGAGGTCACACGCCAGGCGGGCTAAGGGAGGCCTGGATGTTGGTGCCCGCCGAGCTTGGCCAGGGCTCACCCGCCTTTGAGACCTTCGTGAGTCCTCCCTACCCACAGGCCTGTTCAGACGAAGCAAGCTGATCCCAGGACCCTCTCAACCTCCTTCAGCTGAGTATCTTGAGACCGAAGCGCCTTTCTGGAGCAGCGAGCTTGCTCAACACAGGCCTCCCGCGGGTCTCAGAAGTGTACCCCTCACCTATATTTACACTATGCACAATCCTGCATTAGTTCTTTATGAAATGGGCAGCATATTCACGAAAGGCATCGTATGAAGACTGCTCGAGTAAAAATTTCAGTTATGAACCAAAATAATGACCCTAGATCGGAATATATCGTTAAGTGTTCACTCTGCCCACTTCACAGACAAATGCCTGTATTTCTTGGTGAAGAGTTGGGAGGCTAAAATAAACAGGGGTAACAGGCATGGGAGATTTTGAGGCTGAGTATCCACCAATTATGGGCTGCTGAGACACTGCAGGGTGCCTACCCAACATCCAATTTCCTACTTTTCCATGCTGCCAGGGCCCAGATCCTGTTCTGGCACCCACCCTGGCCCCTACAAGACCTGGTCAGCCCTGATGGATCCAAGGCAGATGCGTGCCCCTGTCCCCTTGTGAGTCATCGGTTTAGGAGTGAGTGACCCAGTTCTGACCAATCAAATATGTGTGTCAGTCTCCTGGGTGTCTCTGGGCAAGATGCTGGCTTTTGAGGAGGCCCTCTTTCTTCCCTTGGTGGTGGCAGGACTTGCACATGGTGCCCAGGCCCATGGCAGCCATCTAGAGACCATGAGGACAAACAGGCCGGGAAATGCCAAGGATGGCAGCAGAGAAACATGGAAGGAAATGGGGCTCCTGAATGAGCCAATCTGGAACCAAGCCACCTCCAAGCTTCTTGTAATCTGAGATGCTGGATTCACTCATTCTTTTTTTTTTTTTTTTTTTAAATATTTTTATTTATTTATTTGACAGAGAGAGACACAGCGAGAGAGGGAACACAAGCAGGGAGAGCGGGAGAGGGAGAAGCAGGCCTCCCACCGAGCAGGGAGCCCGATGCGGGGCTCGATCCCAGGACCCCAGGATCATGACCTGAGCCGAAGGCAGACACTTAACGACTGAGCCACCCAGGCGCCCCTGGATTCACTCATTCTTTAATTTGAAGTGGGTATGGTTACTTGCAGCTGAGTGCACCCGGACTGACACATTTCACCCAAATCTACACAGATCGATCCTGAAGAGGCAGATTTTCACATTTCACGATAAATTGGGCTCCCTTTCAAAGCAGACCCCTGGAATGAAAGCAAACCCAAGTACAATGCTACTGCGGCATGTTGAGATTTTAACACATTAAGTGAGGTCTCATTTTAAGCGACTAGGAAAGTTTTGTGGTATTTATCAGATTCGGGGACTTAACTCCTGTCATGTACACCAGAAATCAAACACTCAGGCAATCCTTAAAAACTGTAATGAACACAATCGGCCAGATGAGGTCAGCACCAAAGCAAACGGGCTTCAATGAAGCTGAAATGCTCCCACGGTTTGGTGCTGGTGACAAAGGTCCACGTAAAAACTGCCAAAACACTTAAAATATCCTCATCGGCTGGCCTTGGCGCTGGATGTGATCTAAAGTGGCTGATCTGCACTAACATGGTTCAGCAGAGAACTTTATTTAAAGGACACACAGCTCTAACCTGAGGCCTTAAATTTCATGTATGCGATTCTCACTGAATTCAATATAGTTTGGCGTTTCACAACGGCTGGAAACAGTATCAGGTGGCCAGGATACCTGCTAATAAGATTAAAAACTGAACTGGAAGTTGGCTAACATTTTGCATAGATTATCGCACGCTCAAGAATCACAATTTCAATTTGGCCTCTGTTCAACCATGTGTCTCTCCCATTCTGCCCAAACCCATCTCCATGACGGTTGGTGAACTCAAATACGCTACAATGCAGAGAACTTGAACCGAACGCCAGGCCAGCATCTCGATGAGAAAGATAGCAAGGCAAATGTTTAGCAAGAAAGTCTCAGAGCACAGCTGTGTCCAACAGCTGCTCTTTCTAGTACCCCCTCACTGTGACCCTGGCCTTCACTTTGGTCTTGGCTCCTTGGATGGCAGAGAACAAACAGAATAGTTACAGTAACGGCAACAAGGAAAACCCAGCCGGAATCTCATGAAGGTCTGGGGAACTCTCTAAACTGGAAATTAAAAAAAAAAAA